TCTATCCGTATGGAGAGCACGAAAGTTTATGTCGCAAGGGCAGGTCATACGGCATGGAAGGGATGCGTCTGATGGAGATCTAGGTCGGTGCATTTGGTGATGACAACTGCATCAGACGCACCCTGACATTCGACGCATCTTGGCATATACATCATAAGGGGCATATTTCATCATCGCCCCAAACCCGACAAGCAATACTTATAAACGGTAATCACCACAGCTGCTGGTACACAATGCTTAGCGTCGACATTAGCGTGATCGATGTCGACGCGCGTGCCATGCTGCCAGTCATGGCTGAGATAAACATCGGTTACACGCCAGGATGGTTTCGCCCGAAAGTGGGCGATGCGACACGACCCCTAGAACTCGCATGGACCCCCTTGGCTTGAGCCAGGTGGTGGCGAGATCCCAGTCCTGACCGCGGTTCGACCCGGGCTGCCCAGGGATCTCAGATTCGAAGTCGGAACCCGTTTCAGAGGGAGGGCCGTGGACGGGACAGGGGAAGAGATGGGGGGGAGGAGGGGGGGAGGCAAGAGGAGGATATAAAGGGGAAGCCGCGGCGCGCCCACGTGTGAGGGCAGAGGGGGCTGGCCTGCTCGGAATGCTCAGAAGGCCTCCGGCCTTCTGTGAAGCCTTCTCAGCCTTCTCAGAGGGCCCGAGGTCTTTGAGAAGCCCCGCCGCCTTCTGAGAAGGCCTGCGCCCTCTCGCTGCCCCCCTCGGCGTGCCGCTGAGGAGGGGTGAGGGCGAGGGGAGGGTCCCACGGCTGGACTTTGGGAGCTTGCCGAATCGGCCGTTTCAGAAAAATGGTTATCGGGTTGGGATGGGGGAGGCTGGGAGACATGATCAGATCATCCGTATGATCGCGTATGCTGAAGGTGCTTCTGACACAGTCGTGCCCTTTTATCTTCTCAACCCCTTCCTCCCAACACAACATTTGCCTTTCTCATCATCTTGCCCCAGCCAGTGACCACCGATGCAGTCAAGCGGCCAAGGCCATGCTGCTCATCCGCATCCTCCTGCAGCCCACCCCTGGCTCGGATGCCAGGAGACGCGCCCAGCCCTGCGTGGGCGCCAGCAGGAGGAGGAGGAGGAGGACGAGGACGAGGAGGAGGAGGAGGAGGCATGAGTGGTGCTGGTCCATAGTGTTTCCTTCTCCTTCCTCCCTCCTCCTTCTTGTCTGTCCTAACTAGTTGTCCGTCTTGCTAGTTCCCTAGGGCTGGCTTTTCGCCAGCCCTGGGGGAGGCGGCAGCGTTCGGAGCACACCAATGTCGACAGGAATCAGGAATCAGGTGGAGGGATGAGGCTTCGGGGAGTTTTAGGGGGTCCCCGAGGACTCCACAGAAGGTGCTTAAAGGGGGGGTTCTGGGGCGTCCAGGGGGCCTCAGGAGGAGGGGATTCGTGGTTCTCATCGCAGCATGATGCGGGGGGAGGGCTCACACGAGCTGCATCGAAAGAACAGTTCAAGCGGCAAGGATGCCGAAGACATCGTGTGGGTGAAGTTCTGACGCCCGCTGGTTCCAAACGTATGAAGGTTTCTCGCGTGAGCCGGCGCTGGAGCCTGAAACCGATTTCGAATTTGAGGACGCCGTGCTATTGTCGAGAGAAGCCAGCTGCCCAGGCATCGCTGGCTCGCTGGCTCGCTCTCTCTCTCTCTCTCTCTTTCCTCCACCTCCTCCCTTCCCTTCTCCCCCCCTGCCTCGCCTGGGACAGCACCGCCAAGCGCCTCCCAAACGAGATACCTGCGCACCACGGGCGCGCTCGGCAGGGGAGGAGCGGTGTCCGCGGAGGTCGGGCCCGCCAGCCAGTCGGGCGGGAGAGGGGCGAGCGTTGTTCATGCGATGCCGAGAGGGAGTGAGGAGGCAGGGGGCGAGGGTCGACGGCGCGAGGGCGAGGCCGAACACGAAGTACCTGAGAAAGGGTGACCAGGGCAATGTGGAGAGACACAAGGTCAGGTACAGCCTCCGCACGTGACGTCATGGGGGAGACCAGGGTGAGGGCCAGTGCCCAAGTCAAAACCACCGTACCACAGCCAACGACGACCTGGGTCAGCGGAGTCTGGTGCTGCGTCACAAGTACTCCCCGTGGGAAACGCGGTACAACATGAGAGCGCGAAAACGGTAGCCTCCAGGACGTGGAGGGACCGTGCAGCAATCTGGCCAGGCGGAGCCGCGCAGCGGCCAGTTCTGGGAGCAGCTGAGGGCGGCTGCGGGCCAGCCGAAGCCAGCGGCGGGCACGACGTTGCCGCCCAGGGGGCATGGGGGATGAACGGCGAGGGGGCACCGGACAGCGCCCGCCGCGCTGAGAGCACAATCCAGGTGATCAGGGGCCCCCAGCACTCGGCCAAGGGAGGGGCGATCAGCAACTGGGCACCAGAGCCGCCATAAAACCGAAGCATCTTGGGGAGAGAAGGGGACATGATGCGTGCGAACGGCATACGCTCCAGGTCCAGGTAGGCCCCCCCCCAGTCCCAAGGGGCCGAAACGCACAGCGTGTGAGAGACCAGGAACGTGTAGCGCGCAGCCGCTACCAGCCCCAGGTCCAGAATCGGCCGCACCTTACAACGTGGGAGAGTCCAGGGCCAGGGAAGCAAAGCCCAATCCTTAGCAGCGGTGCAACAGGACGAGGGGCAAGCAACGAACAGCTTGCATCGCATCAGGCCCAGGGACGAGCGCGCCCAGGGCCGGGGGGGCCCGAACGTCACCCCGACCGCGGGGTACACTAGGCGTGCCTTCTGCACTGCCGACCTCCGCGCTCGTCCGGTTCCAGGTTGGCGCGGGTCCTCAGACGTCCGTGGGCAGAACACTTATAGCCCGAAAGCCAACCCACTTCGAGTGCTAGAGCGTCCTGCGGCCCATCGCCAGAGGCCTCCCGGGGGCCCCCGGCGCGTCGCCCGGTCGTTTTGGGCCGTCCACCAGAGGGGCGCCGGGCGCGGGGAGCGATGGCCTCCACCAGAGGACCGCCGGGAGCATCGTCGACCAGGGCGCTGGGGATGGGCGGCCCACAGGGCGGCGTGGGTGGTTGGGGCCAGGGGGGCAGGGCGCGCCGTCGGCGCACAGAGCGGCGCGGGCGTGGCCAGGGCCAGGGGAGCCGGGCGCGCCGTTTTCAGTCTCCCTTGCCGGGGCCCCTTCTGCGGGAGCACCGTCGTCGCTCTGCAGGGGCGCGTATCAGCCTTCAGCCACCAGTTGGCGGATAGCGGCGGCGGCGTCTGCCTCCTGGGAGGCGACTGCGGCCGCGATGTCTGCCCACGCGCTGTCGTCGCCACAAGCCCCTGCCGTCTGCAGGTAGGGAACTTATTGGGTCTGCGGGTCGAGACCGAGCCTCTTCCGCTTAAGAACTAGGCGGGGCGCGCAGCGCACTAATTGGGGAGACAGGGCGCGGGCGGTCGGGGCCTCAGGCGGCCAGAGGCAGGGGCAAGGGGCCGTTTGGCCCCCCACATGGCGCCCCACGGATGGGCTCAAGTCAGGTAACGCATTGAAGATGTTCAGAAGAGGCTGATTCGCTATAGTCGAAAGCAGGCGGCTGCGCTGGCCCCGCTATAGAGCCTCAGGGTCCTGGGACGAGCCAGGGCGACACGGAGCGGAACGCGAAACGGGTAAAGAAGTTGCGTCTCCCAGACCGGCCGCGGCTGCTGCGGAGTTCTTCATTCCAGGACCCAGGACAAATCAGAGTGTTGCAAGGTGCCGCGTCTTCTTCCTCGGAGGCTCCAGCCCATTCACCCAAGCCCTCGTCTCGCCCAGGGTCCCTCTGTTGTACCCCTGGATCGGCTCAAGGTGAAAAGCCGACGCCTCCTGTGGCCTGTACCAGGGTCGCTTGGACGTTGACGCCCTCATGTAGCCCAGGAACCTTATGCTGATCCCGCGAATCAGCTCCAGGTGCAATGCCGAAGCCTCCCGTGTCCTGCAGCAGGGTCGCTTGGACGTCGCCGCCCTCGTCTCGCCCAGGGCCCAGGGTCCTGCTGCTGTTCCCTGGCGTCGGCACCAGGTGAAATGCCACAGCTCGCCGTATCCTGAACCAGGGTCGCTTGGACGCCATCTGGGGTACCAGGGCGGCAACAAGCCGCAACCACGGGAGAGGTAGGCACGTGCGTGTCATGAGCTTCAGCCGGGTTCTCTTGCTGCTCCCCTGGGTCGGCGAGTGGCCCGTGGCCATCCGACGTCCAAAGCCTGCCCGGCCTGTCACCAGAGAGAGGCCTGAGATGTTCGTGAGGGAGGCCGCCTGTGTGTACCATTTCGCAGGCTCTGTTATCTGCGCCGTCATCGTCACAGCGAGCAGCCGCCTCAGCTGGCTCTAGCGGCGTAGGCGCGGCATTCTCGCCAGGGCGGCACGAGGCCAGAACATCACCAGGGCGGCAAACCACCGAAGCACCTCTTGGTCGAATCATGCGCGTGCCAACAGAGCCAGGGCGGGACAAGGCTGGATCAGCCGTTCCGAGGGCACGCCCGGACCAGGATTCCGAGGCGAGTCGCGCCTCGGCGTCAAGGGAAGCGCCGTCTTCACCAGGATCCCGTCCTCAAGCCCGTTCTGGTGCTCGTGATGACGAGGACGGCAGCGCTGGTGATCCGTAGTGTACCGGTGATGATGCTAGCGTGTGTTTGCATCGGTGATCCGCAAAGTGCTGGCGAGAATGTTGGCGTCGTTTTTTCGCACTGTACTTGCAAGAGTGCTGGCGTCGCTGATCCGCATTATGATGGCGAAGATGCTGGCGTCGGTGATCCGCACTGTATTGGTGAGAGTGCTAGCGACGGTGATCCAAGCTTGGTTGGCCAAGATGCTGGCATAGGTGTCCCTGGCTGTGCTGGCGAAGATGCTGACGTCGGTTCTCCTGGCTGTACTGGGGACGACTCTGGCTGGGCGTCGGGTGAGGCACGGGGTAGGTCGCGGGGCTGGACGCGGGGCTGGGCGCCGCAGTCGGGAAGGGCGACAGTTCGTGCACCAGGCTGAGCATCGGGTGAGGCGTTAGAGGGCGCGGTGCAGAGTTGGGCGTCGGAAGGAGCATCGGGATGGGCAACTGGCAGGGCGTCATTGGAGGGCAGGGCGTCGGGCTGGATGGAGCGCTGGGCGTCGGGTGAGGCGACAGGCTGGGCGACGGATCGGAAATCGGGCGTGGGGCAGGGCGTCGGGCTGGGCGTCGCTGACTCTGGCACTGTAGCTGGTCACTTTGGGTTCGGATACTGAGACCTGCAACTCGCTGAGAAGCAGAATGACCCACTGCCACTGATCTCCATTGCGGCCCTCGCGGACCCCAGCGCGTTGGACGCCGACAGCGTCCCGGCGAGCAGCGGCATGGCACGCTGCCGCCGCTCTCCCATCACACGCTCGCTGATACCCGCACTGCAGCTGATAGCGTTTGGCTCCAACTCATCAGCCCGCGTTCTGCTGAGCAGCAGCACGGCCTGCTGGCACAGCTCACCCAGTGCTGTAATTGATCGCGTTGGGGTCAGACTCGGACCGACCTCCATTCCTGCACTCACTGCAGGGAGACAGGAGGGGCGTCGGGGGGGGCGGCCGAGAAGGCCGCATTCTGCGGCGTCGGGAGGGGCGCCAGGGACGGCGATCTCATCCACCTCCGCCGTCCTGCCGCCGAACGCCTCCGCCTCGGCCGCCAGGCAGGCTCCCGTCGCCACGAGGCCAGGCGGGGCCGCTGTCCCGGCGTCGCCGCCCGCCACAGTTTGCAGAGCGGCCGCGGCAGGAGGCGGCGGCGGCTTGGGCCGCGGCTCGGGCGCAGGCGGCGCGAGGCGAACCAGCGCTGGGCGCCGCGGCGCGGGGCGCGCCAGCGGCGGGCGCGGGGCGCGCCAGCGGCGGGCGCGGAAGCCGCCGCGCTGCTGGAGGCGCCGGCGCGGGCGGCGGCAGCCCGGCGCTGCTGCCGCCGCCGCGCCGCGGGGGACTCGGGGGCCGCAGCGGCGTGGCCTGGCGGCCAGGACAGCCAGCGCGCAGTCGGCCAGCGCCAGCGGAGGGCCCGGCGGCGCGCCCATCACCAGCGGCGCCGGAGGCGCGGGCGGCGGCCGCGGCGCCCGCGGTGCCGGCGCCAGCACCAGCGCCCGCGGCGTCATCGACGCGGGCGCCGCGGGCGAGCGGCAGGGCTCGCGCAGCGGCCAAGGTCCACCGACATGTTACCAGGGGAGGGGAGGGCCGGGACGGGGACGGGGCACCTCTTCTGGTCCCCCCTAGGGCACGCCGAAGGTCGGGGCCCACTTCTGGCCCCGCGGCAGCGGTCGCTGCGGCTCCCCTCGAGCCAGAGCGGCCTTCAGCCAATGGCCTGAGCCAAAGTGGCTACGGAGAAGGGGGCAAACAGAAGCCAGCGCTCGCGCCGTGTCTGCAAGCCAATCCCTCCAATCCCTCCCCACTGCGTTGTGAGCCCGTCCTGTTCTTCGACGAGCCCATCGTTTCGAGCTGGACCTTGGGCCCTAGGAGATCGCATCCGCAGCCCTATCCCTGTCGTCCACGCTGAGGGCCAGTGGCACACATGGAAAGCCGGGCGACAGCGGCATCCCAAAAGAAGAAACGGCCCGCGCAGTTGAACTCGGCGGCTCCAGGGGGGAAGCGAGAGGGGGCAGGCAGGTCTCATTGAGAAAGCAGCGGGCCCGTGGAGAAGGCCGACAGGCACGCTGGTGCCGAGGCCTCGAAGCAACTCCGCGACACAGAGCAGATGGGGAGTCCTGATGGGGATTGAACGGGGACGGTGGAGGCGGAGGAAATGAGCACGGAAGGAGGAGGAGGAGGAGGAGGAGGCGGAGGAGGCGGAGGAGGAGGAGGACGATTGTACATCCAATCATCATCATCGATGTTGCACCCTCCCTCTAAGATCTCTTTTCATAGGTTAATATAAAGATTTATATGCACTGCGGGAAGGTCTTGGTTGGAAGACAACCATCTGAAAATATTTAGCCGTGCCAGAGCATCATGTCTCGGACTTCAACGCCCCGAATCAACGTTATCGTCGCGACCTGGTGATCCTAAATCATGCCAGGGCGTCAACACCTTGACTCAGCGTGACCCTCGCGCTCTGACAGTAATAAGTCGTGTCAAAACACCTTTTGGGGGACGCCAGCCGCAATAATCCTTGAAGCTGCTATAGAATGTGTGAAGACGAATGCGCGCGGCGCTAAGGCGAGAGTCACATTTTGAAAAGGAGCCGTTGCGAACGATTATGACGAATGTGCGCGGCGCTACAGTGAGAGCCACAGTTTGAAAGCATCCGCCCTCCTTCTGTGAAGCGGCGCAAGGCGAGAGCTCCATCCGTGAAGGCGTTGCAAATTTCAATCTTCAGGATTACAAGTGGTCAGGAAGTCTCAGGCGAAACGCCCGGCCTGCCCTACCGATCCGCACCAGGGTGAAACTGCGGGGAGTTATCCGTAAGGAAGAGGAATGGATAATGATGATGATGATGATGATGATGATGATGATGATGATGATGATGATCCTGATGATCCTGATGATGATGCTGCTGATGATGATGATGATGATGATTATGTTGATGGTGGTGGTGGTGGTGGTAAAAATGATGATGATGATGATGATGATGATGATGATGATGATGATGATGATGATGATGATGATGATGATGATGATGATGATGATGATGATGATGATGATGATGATGATGATGATGATGATGATGATGATGATGTGCTGCTGCTGCTGATGATGATGATGATGATGATGATGATGATGAGGATGAGGAGGAGGAGGAGGAGGAGGAGGAGGAGGAGGAGGAGAAGGAGGTGAGAAGGTTGGAAGGTGAAGGGTAGGAGGAGGAGGAGCAGGAGGAGGAGGAGGAGGAGGAGGAGGAGAGGAGGAGGAGGAGGAGTGGGAGGAGAGAAGGACGAAGGAGGAGGAGGAGGACGAGGAGGAGGATGAGGAGAAGGAGAAGGAGGAGAAGGAGGAGGAGGAGGAGGAGGAGGAGGAGGAGAGGAGGAGGAGGAGGAGGATGGGGTCAGTTGCCATGTTGGCTCAAGTTGAAACCGCGGAGCCCTGGCGGCTTCAGCCTTTGTGCAGGCGAAGGGCTGGCTCGAGTCCCTGCAGGTGTTCGCTTCCGACCTCCACAGGAGCCTTAGGCGCTGTATATTCGTTTCGGCATCGCTCCCACACCATACCTCCCATGGCGATGATAACTTCTTCACGGAGGAGATGGCGGCGGAGACCGACGCTGCTGCCATGTCCCCCCCACAAGGCAGTCGCGGAGGGCGAGGTGGCATGGGTGGGAGCGAATCCCGAGAAGAAACTTCGGGCACATAGTAATCATGATGCTATGGCTGCTGTGCAACAGCATCGGGGCGGGGCAGTGTCGACGACACCAGAGCGGAGCTCATGCAGGCAGTCGAGAAGTTGCAGCAGTCCGTTTCCTTGTTCGGCAAGGCCGTCGGCACCATCTGTGACCAGATCAACAAGAAGACTGGGCAGCGTCGGGGAGAGGTCAACCGACAGAAGCAGGTGGCAGACCAGCGCGTCACTAAACTTGAGAAACAGATGGCTGAATTCCTTGAAGTATCCCATTGTATAAGGCCCAGAACCGACCACCGCGATCCAGGGCTCCACGTTCAACCGTAACATTGACCCCTGCATCATCGCGGCCAGGTGCAAGTCCATCATCACGAAGGAGGAAGTCTTGAGCATTCTCGAGCCGTGGTTCCAGCGAGCGCAGGGTCGAGAAGAGCGGCGACCTGCTCTCCTCGGAACCGCCGGCCAAAACATCATTTTCGGGGTTCGAGGACGCGACACCGCACGGATGAAGATGTCCCAGGCATCTATGCCAGGACCGACAGCTCACCAGCCATGGCCAAGAGGGGGTTGGGCATCAAGCAGCTCAGACGGGCCTTCGAGACGGTCGCAAGTCACACGTATTTCCGCAACATGCCTGACCAATTGCAGCTGGCTGGAAGCCGCTGGCGAAGCTCACCCCGTACCCAGGAGCATGGCAAAACACAGGAGCAAGGCAGTACACACAGAAGCACGGCATGGTCAGGCGCTATGTGGCCGAGGGCACGCAGGCATCAACAAGGCTTCTGCCAATCTCCGACGTGCCTGGCCTGTGGTGAGAAGCCTGAGACCTTAGGACACCGCTGGTTAGATTGCCCTGTGTTGCCTGATGAGGGAATCTTGCCGCCGCCCGATGAGAGAACGCGCGAGCAGAAGCGTAATGTCCAGGTGCGCGAGCCGATGCGTAATGAGGCGCTGAGTTCGGTTGATCCCACGTTCTTTGATTCGTTCCAGCATGCTTGCGCCATCCCGCTGCTCCCGCCAGTCTCTGAGCGCCCTAGCAGGACACCGAACAGTGTTTTGAATGGGGGGGCCGACGATCCTTGGGGAAGGCACGGTTTACACGGGTGAGGCTGGCCAAAGTATGGAGGTTTCTGAAGTTGCCTGTTGCGCTTGGGCCACTGTGCAACTGGAACCTGCTGGCCGCCCATCCAAGGCCCGCGTTGGAAGCCTCCCAGGGATTCAATCGGTGCCTCGGGCTGCCCGATACGCGGGATTACAAGCGTTTTCGGCCTCGCCAGCAATCACTCGCATAGTCAGTCATCGCCTCTCGTTTGTGCAGGAGGGCGCCCGTTGGGGTGAGGGCGAAGCGTCGGCCTCTGCTCGGCCTGCTGAGATTTGGCGGGCCATTAGAGCGGAGGCGGCCTGGCAAGGCCGAGCTCCCCCCATGTTCGCTTGGACTCCCTCGCGCAAAACGCCTGAGGAGGCGGCTAGTCTTGGGGCGGGGGGAATTGCCTGGTTGGGAAATGCCTGGGCCGACTTTTTGGCCACCGTTGCTTTGCACGCTGTCACTGTCAGTCCGAAATTCGGCAAATGGCTAGAGGGTAGAATTGCTGAGGCCGTCAACCGTGCCAAGTTCGTGGCATGGGCTGGCTCTCAGGTCTCGAGCTCCAAGAGGTGGATACCCCCAGAGAAGGAGCCTCGGGTGCCTCGCCCGCCCCCGCAGCCGCCAGCGGTTTCGATCAGCCAACGTGATTTCGTGCCAGACAAGAATGGCATCCGTTGCAGAGTTTGTAACAGAGCTGCCTTCTCCGATAGCACCATCCGCGGGCTCTGGAGTCGGCCATGTAAGGCTACAGAGCTTACGCGACTGAGAACACGTGCAGTCCTGGCTAGAGCCGACAGCGCGACCACCAGGCTACGCTTGCGCACAAACCTGCGCCCCGTGCTGCTGAGTCTGGGCTGGGCGTCGGCCTTGCTGCAGCTACTGCACTGGATGCCTCGCGCATGTGCGAGGACTCGCCTGAGCGCGGGCAGCCGGCCAGCAGCAGCCGATTGCCTAGACGCCAGCCTGGCCTTTTTGGCCAAGGCGACGAGGAGGCCGGTGGGTCGTCGTCGCGACTGCCGTCGTCCAGGCGGGGGAGTTCCGAGCAGCAACGACGCGAGCTTGCCTGCCGCCTGCTGCGCGCGCCCTCCCGACCTCTGGTCGAGGTGGGGGGCCCGAGGCCGACTTTGCAGGCTCGCGCAGACCCCCGGATTTTCAGAAAGGGGCTCCAGAGAGCACCGCCAGCGCTAGAGTGCCAGAGGCCCCCTCTTCAAGCGCGCCGCCTGGGCCCGCCAAGCGCGCGAAGGAGCGCGTTGTCAAGCCTGCTGTCTTCGCTGCCAGCGGTAGCGACGCAGGCCCCGCGGCAGACAGTGCGCCCCCTCACCAGGGACACGGCCCCGAGCTGTCTGGCCCAGTGGAGCCCAGCCTGTCGCGGCCTGCGCCAGGCAAGAGGTGGGGGGGCATCTGGGCCACCAGCTTCTTCTCATCGCACTTTTCATTGTTTGCAGAAGGTGCGGGGCGCATGCTCGCAAGCAGGGCGCCGAATGCACGGGGGGCCTGCCTGCAGTGCATCTGTGTAAGACCCAGGCAGAGAAGGTGCGAGCGAGGCGACGTGATCGCCTCGTTGCAGGTCCCCACCCAGGCGCGGGACAGCCCTGGCCAAGGTTCGGGGATAAACGAGGCGCGCGCTTGTTCGCACGCTCTGCTTCGCTGTCCAGCGGACAGCGCTTGAGCCTTGCTGGCGCTGGGATCAGGTGATCCATTTGGCTTGGTTTCTGCGAGCTGCGGGGCCTCTGGATTGGCATCCCTGGAGGCTCTCTGGTTCAAGGCGGTGTTCGTTCCACCCGTGATTCGGACGCCGCCCCTCGCAAACCGACGCAGAAGCGCGGCGGGACACGCAGGAGCACGGCAGAACTGACGGCAGAATACGCAGGAGCACGGCAGAACACATAGGAGCACATCCGTAGCCATTTTGGCTCAAGGCCATGGAGTGCCCGACGACCGCGAGTCGTGCGCGGCGCTCTGAGCGCGAGGGCCTCCGCGCTTTGGGCCAGTGCAAATTCTTGTTGTGGTTTGTGCTCTCACCGCGTGGGGGCGTTGCCCAGTGGGCAGTGCGTCTGGCGCCATGGCGAGGTCCCAGCGTGGCGGCAGCAGTGGCAGGCGCAGCAGAGCTTATTGGATGCGCAGCTGCAGGTGCTGGAACTGGGATTGGCGCTTCGCGTGCCTCAGCTGTGGGCATGCCGCGCCACCTTGGGCCGCGGAGGCGCCCCGAGGCAAGGCGAAGCCCGAGGTGGACAAGGACGGCTGGGTGGACCAGCCTCGGGGGCGTCAGGCCCAGCAGCAGGCCCGCAGCGCAGCGTCGCGCACGGCATCCACCAAGTCGCAGACCTCGGCTTCGGCGGCGAGTGGGGCGCCCAGCAACGGAGGAGCAACGGCGATCGAGAGGCTGCGGGCAACGGTCGAGCGGCTTGAGACGCTGCAGGCAGGGCCGCCAGACGGCGTCGACTGCTGCTTCACGGACGTCGTGGCCAACCAGCTGGAGGCGAAGAGGGCAGAGCTGGCCATCGCCCAGAAGGAGGCAGCGGAGCAGAAGGCTTCTGCGATGCCGCGGTCGGCTCTGCTGCGCAAGGAGGCGAACGCCATCGGCAAGGAGGAGAAGCGGCTCCGCGCAGCCCGCCAGGCCCTCGAGCAGAAGCAGGCAGCGCGGGACCTCGCGGAGGTCCAGCTGCAGAAGGCCCAGGACGAGCTCGCGGCGCTCGACGGCGAGGTGGAGGAGGCCAGCAAGGCGCTCCAGGTCCTCGGGGAGGCAGCCCGTGAAGAGGCGGAGAAGCGGCGGCGCCAGCGTGCAGCCGAGTGGGCGGGAGCTAGTCACGTGCCAGGGCTCCTCACGCAGCTGGACAAGCTGCCAGAAGCCTGGGGCTCCAGCAACTTCGAGGTGGCATGGGCGGCCATGCGTTCCCAGGTGGAAGCGGCGCGGGCGCAGCTCGCGGTGCCCCCGCCAGCGCCCGAGCGAGCGCCTTGAGCAGAGTCCTGCCCCATGGGCGAGATCAGCAGCGACGATGGCGAGCTCGCAGGCAGCGGCGAGCCTCGGCCGCCTCAGGCCGCAGCGGAGCGCGGCCAAGCCGAGCGGCACGGCAGCGCGCGCGGGGAGTGGCCGCAGGTGTCCCAGGCATGCAAGCGAGAGCTGGTCGCCGAGGCCGCGGACCTGGCCCCTCTGGCTGCTCGCCCTGCTGGCCAAGCAGCTGGGAGCAGCGATGGAGGAGTGTAGCCGAGGCAGGTGTGCGCCTTGCTGGGCCAGTGCGGCGGGGCAGCGCCCGTGCGCGAGCGGCAGTGCCGAGGAGGGGGCGCTGCCCCAGCCCCTAGGCGCCCATGCTACCATGCCGGCCTTCATTCCCCAGGCTGACGGAGGAGTCCGACCAATTGTGAACAGCCCGCCGCCCATGCGCATCTGGGGCAGCCCGAGGCAGCCCACCAGCGCACTGTGGGAGGCGGAGCGCGACCACCGCCTCCTCGGGGGCAAGATGGCCCGCAAGTGTTACAAGGCAGGCTGGCGGCGCAGCGCCCGTGCAGCCGTTGCCGCCTGTGTGCGAGAGAGGCGATGTGCCTCCGCCAGCCTCTGCCTGGACATCACCAGGCTCTACGAGAACCAGCGGCACGCCTCCCTGTGGCAGTGGGGAGTCGAGCATGGCTTCGACCTGCGGGCGCGTCGAGGCATGCACGTGCTCTACCAGGCGGGAGCTGGAGAGCGCAGGGCTGGAATCTCTTCTGTAAGACCTTGCAAGCCAGGAACCTCTTCATGGGCGCCGCCCCTGCGGGGCGTGAAGTGCATGAGGACCGTGTGCGGGGCCCTGGAGCCGTGCGCCGTGAGCGCGGGCTGCCCCCGCAGTTGGCACCCCAGAGGACCGCAGGGGGCGCCGCCGCCCAGCGCGCCGTGGCGAGGCCGCAGCCCGCATCAGGCGGCCAAGGATAGCGAGGGCCTCACAGCGTGGAGGCTCGCCACTTTCGCTGGGCCAGTGGCTGAGGAGGTCAACATCGACGGCAGCTCCATCGTGACCTGCCTGCGCAGCGGGCGTTCATGCGCCACGGCGCCCAGCAGGGCCACGGTCCATCTGTGGGGCAGGATCCTGGAGTACCTCGAGCCAGGAACCTTCGAGGACGAGAAGGTGCCAGCCCACGGCTCGAGGCAGGCCGTGCCTGACGGGCCCCTGGCGGAGGCCCATCGGCGTGCCCTCGAGCATGCTGATCGCCTGGCCAAGGTGGGTGCCCAGATGCAGGCGGTGGACAGGCAGACGGGCGGCGAGCACCACACGCGGGCGGAGACCGTGCTGGAGCTCAGGCGCTGGATCTTGCGGGCAGCCATCTTCTGGCACATCGGGACCAAGGATTGTGAAGGGCTCCCTCCTGCGGCTGAACGGCGCCAGGTACGCTTCGCTGCTGCAGAGGCGCCGCAGGCGGCAGAGGAGGCCGCTAGCGCCGAGCCGAGGGCCAGGCGGCCGCGCCTGGGGAGCGCGCGCTCGGCTGGCAGCAGCTCAGCCGCCCTCTCGGCCAGCGCGTCAGCCTTCAGCATCCTGGGGCGCGCCCTCTCCTACGCCTGCACTGGAGAAGGTGACGCAGGCCCAGAGCTCTTGGCGTGCACCAAGTGCGACACCTACGTGACGTTGGGAGGTCGCGCGGAGCGGTGCCCAGGCGACAAGGCCGACCAATGGGGGCAGGACCCATCGCAGCCTCTGGCCGCGAGGTCCCCACCCAGGCGGCAGGAGACATGAAGGGTCCCGAGCAGTCAGGCCCGAGATGGCGCAGGAGCGGCACCTGGTGTGGCGTGCCTCGCAGCGGAGCGCAGCTGCCGACCCCTCGGCTGCGGCGAGCACCGCAGGCAGCGCGCCTGCTGCGGCCGCGGCGCCCGTCGAAGTGGGGGCCGCCGCCAGCCTGCCTCTGCGGCGCCCTGCCGCGGCGAGGGCGGGCCTCCGCGGGGCCTTCGTTGTCGCGAAGAAGGGCCGCCGCCGCATGCACGCCGTGGCCGTCCGCCGTGAGTGAGTGAAAGTGCATCGTAGTGGCCCGCGCCAGCTGCTCCACTGTGCGAGTAGGCTTCCGCCGCCCTCGGTGCCCGCCTGGACTTGGCTTCTTTCGGGGCGAGGGCCCCGCCTGGCCCTGTCTTGGGTTTTTGCCTCGTGGGGTTCCTGTGTTCTGTCGCAGGTGTGTTCCTGTTGGGCGGTGGCCCAAGGTGGCCCCGCTGGGATGCCGAGGGGGGCCCAAGGTGGCCCCCCCTCGGGTTGGTGGCCCTGCGGGGCCTCCCCGAGTGGCGGCCCTAGGCGGCCCCTCTCGGGCTGCGTGTCTGGCCCTTTGGCCCACCACTCCGCCTTGAAGGCCCCGTCTTTAACTTTAACTTTAACACATAGGAGCACGGCAGAACACACACAGGAGCACGAGGAGCACGGCAGAGCAAACAGAGTACATCGGAGCACGGCAGAACAAACAAGAGCATGGGATAACACACAGGAGCATGACGGATCATACAAACAAACACAGGAACACGGCAACACAAGCAGCAACACGGCAGAACACGCAGGAGCATTGCATAATACAAAGGAACACGGCAGAACACACAGTAGCGCGGCAGAGCAGGACCATGGCAGAATACACAGGAGCACGGCAGAACGCAAGGCGCACGGCAGAACGCACAGGAGCACGGCAGACCACGCAGAACATCTATCAACACAGCCGCACCCACAGGCACACGCACATAGGCACACGCACACAGGCACACGCACACGCTTACGAACACGCACGCACAGACACATACACACAGGCACACACACACACACACGCACGCACACAGAGAGGCAACATACATTCACGCAGACCGCAGGAGCACGGCAGAGCAGCACGGCATAACACAGCAGTGCCGTAGACCACTACGCACGGACACACATGCACAGATTCCACGCACGCACGTGCACGCACAAACGCACGCACGCCACGACATATCTGCGCGGCAGACCAACAAAAGAGCATACTTCACATACCTAGTGGAACGAGGCGACGCTTCATAGGGCGCTTTATTTTGAAAATGAAGCTATCGCTGCAGACTTCCTCGAACAATGACGATCTTGAAATCTCTCGCGAAATTCGTCGATCTGCAAAAATGGGCGTTCCGCCGGAGACATCCTCGAAACCAATAGATGCCGAACGAGCCGTGATTATGCTTCTTATGTTAAAACATGTAGCTCTCGCCCGAGACATCCTCGAACAACGGAGATGCCCAGGGAGCTTGCGATTCCGTCGTACTCTCAGAAATAAGGCTCCCGCCTGAGACATCCTCCAAACATGCGATGTGCAATAAGCTGTCTTACGACATTGGAGGCATTCTTTGGAGGACCCCCAAGACGGCCCAAGAGGGAGCATCTTTAAACATACAATAGTTGTTCAACGATTTCGCTCAAACGTGTGCGTTTCTCTCGATACATCATCAAACTTTGCACTTTGCATCATCATCGTCGTCGTCATTGTTGTCGTCGTCGTCATTGTCATTATCATCGTCATCGTCGTTGTCGTCGTCCTCCTCCTCGTCATTGTCGTCGTCGTCGTCACTGTCATCGTCATCGTCGTAATTATCGCCGTCGTCATCACCGTCGTCATCGTCGTCGTCATCGTAGAGGCGCCACGGGGAGGTGCGCCTCGTCCGAACTCGCGCGGAAAGTAAATCCGACCTGGCATAGGGGAACGCGAAGGGGGGCGGTGCGGGTCTGGAAACGGATAATACCGAGATGCGCCAGCGGCAGGTGCGCCTCGTCTGAACTCGCGCGGAAAGTAAATTCCACCTGACTTGGGGAACGCGAGTGGGGAGGTTGCGGGTCTGGAGGCGGATAATGCCGAGACGCGCCAGCGGGGGGTGCGCCTCGTCTGAACTCGCGCAGGAAGCAAAGTCGACTTTTGGAACTCGAGTGGGGAGGTTGCGGGTCTGGAGGCGGATAATGCCGAGACGCGCCAGCGGGAGGTGCGCCTCGTCTGAGCTCGTGCCGAAAGGAAGCTCGACCTGACACATGGGAACGCGAGTCGGGAAGTTGAGGGCTTGGAGACGGCTCGTTCACGTTCTTGCAGAGGTCGTCGGTTTCACACGCTTCCAGTTCATGTCAAGAAAGTTTACAGTTCCGGGATTCAGGGTCATACTGTGGGGAGGCATCGGGCAAGAACCATCTTTTGGAAACGGCCCGCTTCCTTCAGCTACTCGGAGGGAGGGCCCCTCCCCCCGAGTAGCTGAAGGAGGTTTTGGTTCCAAGTGTATCTTTCGGAGTGGAGTATGAGGCGAAGCGCCCAGACCGCCCTACAGGCACGTCCGGTGGTGAGACGGAGAGGGCTGGAAGAGGGGTAGAGAAAGAGGAAGCGCAGGAGGAACAGGAGGGGGACGAGGTGTGATGGACAGGAGGATCCGCAGGAGGAGGCGGTGAGTGAGGATGTTGCGAAAGAGGGGGGGGAGGAGGATGCGGGGTGCAGAAGAAGGAGGAGGAGGAGGCGGCGGAGGAGGAGCCCGTACCGCCGATCGTATAGGGCCGTCTCTGCGCCGCTCTGGGCGCTCCCGCGAGAAGAGGCGGCTCCAGGGGATTCCGCCCGCCGCCCCTGGTGGCCCAGTTCGGCGTGCAGGCTCGCTGGGCCCACGAACATGTCAGCAATTTCCAAGGAGGGGGGCGGACGAAGCGAGGAAAGATGGGGGAGAGAGGGCGAGGTTGGATGGAGGGTGGGAGGAAGGGGAAGGGGAGACAGGGAGGGGAAAGGAGGACAAGGGATGAGAGAGGGAGGCAGGTGGAGGAAGAGGAGGTGGCTAGCTGGCTGGACTGGCTGGCTGGCTTGGCTGGACTGGCTGGGCGACCCAGGTTGGATGCAGGCTACATGGGTGACTAGAGCGGGTGGAAGGTGGCTGGCTGGCTGGGTCGGCTGGGTAGGTTGGTGGTTGGTGGCTAGGCTTGTTGGCTAGACTAGCTGGCTGGCCGGGCTCACTGGTTGGGCTGCCTGGGCACGTTTGCTGGCTGGTGGGCTGGCCAATCTTTGACATGCGTTGTCTGCTGCTCTCCTTGCTTTCTCACCTCAGTACAGGCTGCGCGGCGGCAAGCATCTCGCGTAGTGGTAGCATGCGTGCGTGCAGCAGGCACCATACAATCGAGCATCGGATTAAGGAACCTCCTGTCGCAGCTGGGCCAACGTTTCTTAACCATCATGTAGGAAAGCTGGCTCTGTTACTTGAGCACGTTCGCCCATCCAGTGTTAACAACACATATTCGCCCAGGTTTGTTTGAAGCAACTTCCGGATAGTTGGCCCAGATGTCTTACATGCTCAGTTTCTTAAGTTTAGTCTCGGTTGTAATATTTGCCGCTACGGATCCAATCATCAAGTTATTACACAGTAGATGTGTAAGCTATGTTGTGCAAGGTATGCGGTGCTCGGGGGTGTAAGCTAGGTTGTACGCTGTATGTGGTGCAAGCTGTGTGGTGCAACTAAGCTATGTGGTTCAAGATATGTGTTGCAAGCTATGCGGTGCCATACAGGTGGTGCAAGCTAGGTGGTGGAATTCACTTTGACCGTCTTGAAGCGAAGCTGTCCTCTCTACTGCTCGTGCAAACATCCCACCCTCCCACCCGCAACTTGGTCGCAAGACTTCTTAAGACAAGACCGTGACGGTAGGTACCACATGGCACTTGGCCACGACACCGACGCCGACGACGACGACGACGACGGCGCCGCAGACACCGACTACGACGACACCGCCGACGTCGACGTCGACGAAGACGACGACGATGCCGACGTCGACGACGACGAAGACGACGACGACGTCGCCAACGGAGACGACGACGAGGGAGGAGAAAAAACGACGACGGCGACAACGACGACAACGACGATGGAGGAGGGAAGACGGCGACGACGCGAACGACGAAGAAGGAGGAAGGACGGCGACGCCGACGACGGCAACGACGAGGGAGGAGGGAAGACGACGACGACAACGATGACGACGACGACGACGGCGACGAAATAGGAGGGACGACGACGAGACGCCGACGACGGACGACGACGACGACGAGGGAGGAGGATAACGACGAGGGAGGAGTGAAGACCACGACGACGACGACGACGACGACGGCGACGATATAGGAGGGACAACGACGAGACGCCGACGAAGACGACGAGGGAGGAAGGACGACCACGGCGACAACGGCAACGGAAGCGACGACGACGTCAAGACGACGACGACGACGACGACGAGGAAAGACAGAAGACGACGACGACGACGACGACGACGACGAGGGAGCAGGGAGGAGGACGATGACGACGACGACGCAAGAGCGCGCGCGCACGCTTTTGTTGAAAACCCGTGTTGCGAAACCTTGTCTTTTTGTAGGTTTTTTTGGACACACGATTTTGGAATCCTTCCGAAGCCGCAGGTTTGTGAAGGATTTCGGCATACGCGCGGGACTTCGCGCGCGTCTGCACTTCGTCACATGTTTTGCAGAGGATTCTCGCGACGGCACACGCGCAAGGGCGTTCGACAGATTTCGACATGCGCGCGCGAAGCCCGTCTGGTATAATTTTGTGAAAATCTTGAAAAACCTATGGTTTCCATCAGATTTCGCAAGAGCTCGCGCGTAAGCTTTTTTAGCAAATCAGTGTTTGTTTGTATGTTTTTGGGGAAATTCAATTTTGAAACCTCTTCGGAACCGAAGGTTTTTGAAGGATTTCGGCATGCGCGCGCGACGACGCGCGCGTGTGCACTTCGTCCCACTTTTTTGCAAGGGATTCGCGAAAAAGTCTCATGTTAGAGCAACAAATGTCACCGCATAGTGTTTTTTTACAAGGGGACCTCAGGGGGGGGGGAACCCGGTTTGGCTGGGATGGTATGATTTCATTTTTAGGATGGACGAGTGTGCAGAATATATATATATATATATATATGTGTGAAATCGTATTATCCCAGGGGGAGCCGATCAGTCCGGGGGGGGAGGGGGGTAGAATCTATTAATCTTGTAGAAAGGAGAATGTATGAGGTGCACACTGTGGTGTGCAAGCTACGTGGTGCAAGCTATGTGGTGCGAGGTATGTTGTACAGGCTATGCTGTGCAAGCTTCTGTTGCAAACTGACCACATGTCCACGTTCACTGCTCGCGGACAGACGGAACTAGGCTCCCGCGGGAACCTCAGCTACCTTCCAACATCACCTCGGGTGCCAGGCGCGCGCAGCGTTCGGATTATTGCGCTGCAGAAACGTGCCGCTCACAACCCACAAAGCAGAAAAGATCACCAGCCCCTCAGAGCCAAGAATCATTCAGCAGGTGCTCTGGAATACTGCCACCCTGAAGCCAATCGATCTCCGCCGTGAAACACTCAAGCATCACCAGGACTTGCCCGTCAGCGTCGCCGTACTCCTCTGGCTATGCTGTGCAAGCTTTGTGGTGCAAGTTATGTGGTGCAAGGTATGTGGGCGCCCACGGGCGCCCACGACCAGGCACCAACCGGGCACAAGGTGAAGAAGCCCAGCGCGGGCAGCGACATTTTTTGCACAGTAAAGTGGGTGGGTCGTGGGTGTAGGTCGTGGGTGTGGGTCGCGGAAGTGGGTCGCGCGTGGTCGCGGGCCTGGTCGCGGGTGGGTTGTGGATGGGTCGGGGTGGGGGGGTGGGCGACGACGACGACAGGAAAATCGGCAATCCGTACCGCGGAGTCCCACTTCAGCCTCGGATTTCAGGGACAGTGTAGGACCGTTCGGCCCGCCACTCTGACAGCGCAGATCGCTGCACTGTGCAGGCCGGCCAGATTTGCAAACCGGCGGCCGATCCTCACACATTTGTCCGATGATCGGGTTGTCTGGCCCTCGGTGCCCACTGGCCGCACTTCCCCACCATTCTTCTGTCGTGAGCCGGCCAGCCGAGACAAGGCGCTCTGTTCTTCGTCGGCGGCCGCTTTCCTGTTCACGATGGGCGCGCTGATTCGCGAGGGCGCGGCGCCCGCCGCTGCCGAGCAGGAGCAAGGGCCAAACACTGCAGCAATCCATTGTATGTGTGAAGTACGACAGGCAGCAGAACAGCATTCGTACTTTTAATCTGCCCGCCCTGCCTATGACGAGTTGGCCTCGCTGACGCACGTCCAATGTGGTGTGGGCATCAGGGATCAGATGGAAAAGGGTAAGGAGAGGGATAATGAGACACAGCGACTGGGGTGGGTACGCCCTCTTGCGAGGAGAAGTCGGCCTCCACTTTGCAGGAGTAGGGATCGACAGAGCGGAACGATATGAATTCTCCCTTGATCCAGTGGGGCGCTTGTCGGATGGTCGCGCCCTCTCCTTTTCGCCTCCCCCTCTCTTCGAAAAGTGAACGCTTATACCTCTAGTATGTACATAAAAGTTGGCGAGAGCCGTCCGGAGCACATGCAGTCCAGTCGTTGCGGGGCCTGGTGGGAGCTTCTTTGGGGCCCTTGAGAAGCCTCTTGAGAGCATATTGGGGCGTCCCGGGGGCTTGTGATAGGGCTCCTCGCGGTCTCTAGGAGGCGTCTTGGGCCGTCTCGGGGCGCTCTTGCGCCGTGTGGCCCCTTCGGAGGCCATCCTTGGGCCTCTCGCGGCCGCCTTGGGGCCCTCTTGGGGTCCTCTGGAGCTGTCTTGGAGTGCCTCTGAAATCGTCTTGGGGGCCTATTTGGGCCGTCTTGGGGCCCTCTCAGAGGTGTCTTGGGCCGTTTTGAGGCCATCTTGGAGGCCGCTTGGGCCGTCATGGGGCCTCTGAGAGTCGAACAAGGCGAGAACGCTAAAATCCATCAACGATCGTCGGGAAATCTATGATTTTGGCCTCTTGGGGCGCTTTTTGGAGGTCCTCTTGGGGCCGTCTTCTTGAGACTTTTTGGCGAGAACAGAACGCAGTTCTGTTCGTTGATACAAAAACGCGGACTTAGAAGCGTTCCTCCCGCCCGCCCCGCTGCGGGCGCCGCGGATCGCCACGGGGCCCGCGGCGGGGCGGGTTGGGTCTGGGTTGGGGGAGCGGAGACGGGGCGCGCCCTTAGATCATCGTGAATTCCTTGTTCGCCGACTTGTTTCTCTTCGGGTAGATATACCCCCGCGTCGGACGCGCAGCGCCGAGGGCGCATTTCGGCTTTACGCGAGGCTGGCGCCCTCGGCGCGCGCGCCGTCGGGCCGCAGCGCCGCGGGCTTCGGGAACATCTTGCGGGAAAGCGCTTGTTCGCCTTCTCTGTTGGGAGGCGCGCTCTTCTGCGCGTCTTCACTGCTGACCGGAGCCCACGTGGGGCCCACGGCAGCAGGGGTTTGAAGTGAAGCAGTGATGCAGCGCATGGCCACCGGGTCGATGGCATGTGTGACAGTCTCCCACGTTTTGTTATCGTTCGAAGGACATTTCGAGTGGCGAAGAACACGCTGATGTTGCCGGTGCAGCGCGTTCTGCCTTTATCGCTGCCTTGATCGCTCTCACCCCAGCTGGGCCACCAAAATCTCGTCACCAACCTGCGTGCTGTTTCCGAAACGGCGGGCGCAGCCCCGTCTGGGACGCGTTGGTCAAGAAGCTGTTCCTTGCGGTGCATCGGCTTGAAGTGCTGAGCTCTGAGACACGGTGGCTCACGACCGTCGTTGGCGTTGAGGCAGTGATCAACGGGATGCGGAAACCGGTTGGAGTCGCATGTAGCACGCAGTGGGGCCATCCGCATCGCTGAAAGCATTGCTGAAGGCTTGTCAAAACCGCAGATCGTCTGGTTAGTCCCTTTGGAAACCACGGCGGGCGGCCCCTTCAAAGTTTGGCCAGCGGCCATCGTGCGAGGCGATGTCTTGGATCTTGGGTCTGCTGCCGCGCCTGGAGGTCAGCTGCCGGCTCCTGGGCCGCCCCGGCTTAGATCGGCTGTTTTTATGACCTCCTCCGCATCGCTTGCGCCGACCAGCCAAAAACACGGTGAACGCGCGGGCGCGCGGAATTCCTGACTCTTGCGCCGCGTGTACACGGGCGGTCCAGTTCGCAGACTTGTCGGGTAGAAGCACGCAGTGCATGCCCTGTGCCGCGCGGTCCACGCGCAGCCCCGAGTCACCGCGCGCGGCCGCGCATTGCATCTCTTCGTCGGGCTAGCGCCGAACAGCCCAAGAGGCACCTCATCGAGGCTCCATATTTTGCCCGCCGTCGGCCTGTCGCGCCGCTGCGTGACTGGTCTCGGTCGCGGCCTGCAGCGCTGGCAGCGGCCTGCGATGCCGCAGACGGCCCGCCGTGCCGTCTTAGGCCCCCTGCGGCAACTTCGGCCTTCGGTCGCCTTCGGCTTATTAAAGTTGCCGCAATCGGATTGCTGCGCCGCGGCGAGTGACGCGTCGTTCTTCCGAGTGGTCAACGCGGTCTGCCCGCGCATTCCCCCCCGCGATCTTTCCGTTGGTCGCGCCGCAGCAGAGGCAAAACATGCCGGCGATGCTCGCGCCGCAGCGCGCCCATGTCGATCGGTTGGAACGCGCGCCTGTCGGCGTCCGCGAGCGACGCGTCCGTCGCGACGCATCGCGCGACGGCGTAGTCGCATTCACCGCTGGATCATAGTCGGGGCCGCGTGCCCCGCGCGCGCTGGCCCGACTTCGCGGAGTGAGCGTGGCCGGGCAGCCGTTGTGAATCTGCGCCGGCGTCGCGAGGGGGTTGCCCGCGGCCCCGCAGGGGCTGGGGGCGCCGCAGTGCGAGGAGACCCCGAGCTGTAGAAGTGGGCTCGGGCGCCGCACCGCCCCGTGCCAAAAAGGGCGCGGTGGGGGAGTGCGCCGCCAGGGTAGCGCTGAGCAGCGCGTCGCCCTGCGACGATGGCGCGGGCCGAGCTCACCGCGAAGCGTCCGCGCGCCTTCCGCGAGGACTGCCTTGGGCGATCCCTCGCGCGCCGGCGCAGCGAGCGCCGCGGGCTCCGCTGCGCCCGCGCGCTTCCGCGGGGCGCGGCGGGCGTCGAGCGCGTCGCGCGCCCGCTCCGCGGTCGCGGGCCCGCCCAGCGAGCTGCGCCCCCCGCGCTCTCCCCCAGCCCCCGAGCTGTCTAGGGGGGCGTTTTTGCAGGCGAGAATAGACGGCGGTTTTGCGCGTTGTCACAAAAACGCGGACCTAGAAGCGCCCCTCCGCCCCGCCCCGCCGCGGGCGCCGCGGATCGCCGCTGGGGCCGCGGCGGGGCGGGCGGGGTCTGGGCGGGGGGGGCGGAGAGGGGGCGCGCCCTCGGGTCATCGTGGACTTCTCGTTCGCCGGCGATTTCTCGCTCGCCGACATTTTTCTCTCCGGGTTTGCCGCCGCCCGCGGCGGGGGGGGGCGAGTGCGATCCCGCGTCGGGCGCGCGGCGCCGAGGGTGCGCAGGGGCTTTGCGCGGGGCCGGCGTCCTCGGCGCGCGCGCCGCCGGGCCGACGTGGCGGCGTCTTTCTTTCGCCGTCGCCCTTCGCCGCCCCTCGTTGGGGCAGGGCGCGGGGCGCCGCTGCGCCCGCGCGCCCCCGCGGAGCGCGGCGGGCGTCGAGCGCGTCGCGCGCCCGCCCCGCGGGCGCGGGCTTGCCCAGCGAGCGGCGCCCCCCGAGCTCTCCCCCAGCCCCGTGAGCTGTCTAAGGAAACGTTTTTGTGGAGCCCTTCCGGGGCCACCCCTGACCGTCTCGGGGTCGTCTTGGGCCCCCGGGAGACCCGAGGGGCTTTGTCGTGTTTGCCCCGTTGGTTTCAAAATGTTTTAGGGCCCAGATGGGGGCCGCCGCGATTGGGCAACGGATGGGGCGCGGCTCCTTGGGGCGGGGTTAGGCGAGGGACATGCCGCGGTGGCGACGCGCTGTGGTGGCGCAGCACAATGTGTGGCAATTGTGCAAGTATTGGATCAATCGGATACGTTGCGTTAGGGATTCCGCTCCGCTGCGCGACCTGCCTCTGGCAGCCCGGCACTTCCGGGCGCGGGTTCCTTTCGCTTCGCGGGGTGCGCGTCCAGAGCGCGCGCGGCCCAGTCGGATCGGGGCCTCTCGGGGGCCTTTTGGGAGCCTCATGGGGGCCTCGCGGGCTTCATGAGGCCTCTGGGGGGCTTCTTTGGGGCTTCTTGGGGGCGGCTTGGGCAGTCTTGGGGTGTTTTTGCGCCGTCTTGGGGGCCTCTCGCGGCCGCCTTGGGGCTCTCTTGGGGTCCTCTTGGGCCGTCTCCGGGGCTTCTTTGGGCATTTGGGGGCTGTCTTGGGCCGTCTTGGGGCGCTCTTGGGGGTTTCCCGGGCCGTCTTGTTTTTTTCGGAGGCTGCTTGGTCCATCGCGGGCCCTTGGGCATCGAGATGAAGCGAAATCGCTAGAGGCTTTCAAAAACCAATGGGAACTGAATGATTTTGGCTTCTGGCGGCTCTCTCGCGGGCCTTCCGGGGGCCCTCTGCAGGGGCATCGTGCCGTGTTGGGTCCTCGCTTTCACGCGTTTCCCCCCCCCCGTCCCGCTCCTCCCACCCCTTGCCTCTGCCCTCCGGATGTCCTCATGATCGTCATCGCCGTCATCATCGCCATCGTCATCGTCGTCGTCATCATCACCATCATCGCCACACTCAGTGCAGCACTTCGTGGCCCCATAGGGAGCTCCACCGAAGGTCCCCGCGGCACAGTTCGCACGCGTCTCCCCCGCCCAGCACAGCGTTTCGTGGCCCCACATTGAAAGCTACACCGAAGGTTCCCGCGGCGCCGTTCGCATGCGGCTCCACCACCCTGCACCGCGTTTCGTGGCCCCATGGGGAGCTCCACCGATAGGGGGCTCTACCGAAGGTCCCAGTGGCGCAGTCCGCATGCGTCACCCCCACCAAGCACAACGCTTCGTGGCCCCATAGGGAGCTCCACCGAAGGTCCCAGCGTCGCAGTTTGCATGCGTCTTCCCCACCCAGCACAGCGTGTCGTGGCCCCCTATGGGGAGCTCCATTACAGGCCCCCGTGGCGCAGTTCGCATGCGTCTTCCCCATTCGGCACAGCGTTTCGTGGCCCCTCAGGGAGCTCCACCGATCGTCCCAGTGGCGCAGTTCGCATGCGTCTGCCCCATTGACTACAAAGCGTT